GTATACCATTTTTGTTGTTCTCCCTCTTCCATTAGGATTCCTTCCATCTTGAGCTGTAATCACATTCCTGTACTATTATCACGTCGTATTTTTGCTTTGTGTTTACCCAACCGATTTTAAAGTTTGACTTGTTGTGACTTGTTCCCTGTATTAGTTGTTCAGATCGTGAAATGTATCACTCATCTCTGTTCCCATATAAATGTATGTTTAGGTATAAAGGATTAATTTAGTGTTGTTTACTACTGAAATGTATCAGGTGAATTATGCTGGACACTGATAGCTTACTGTATGTAATTCTCAACTTAGTGAGCATGTGAAAGATTAAGGGCACAAGAAATGATTTCTATTCATCCTACAATATTTGTTGTTCTTGCTTTGCAGAAATTTATAAAGGGGACTGACTGTATGAAGTCTCTGTAAACATCACCAGCATAGGAAGTAAGACAGTAAATTACACATTCAAACACCGAGTAGATGTTCAGTGGTTCATAGTTTCCTATTTCTGTCGATTCCCGATACAGCATGACTATCTATCAAGGTCTTAGGCTGGCATCCGCTTCACCTTCAACTGGTTGACCACACAGGTTATGGATTCTCTGGAAGCATTTCACTAGTGAGAACTGTACAGGAATGCATTTGGGTTAATGGGGATTTATTTTAAACGGAGTATTCATCATGGGATGGCAGAAGTAGGAAACTGTGAACCATTGGACTGCGATTTATCAACTGAATAGCTAGCGCGTTTGTCGTAAAACCTAAAGGTTTCGAGTTAGATCCGTAGCAAGGTTATGAGTGGATACTGGTGAGAAGTCCTATTCTGGGATGGAACATCTGTCCAGTGCTCTCAAGTTTCCAGTGGTTCTCTAACTGATGTCAGTTCATGATGAACATCACCTTTAAAAAATTCCTCCCGCATGAACCTCAAAATAAATGACAACCAGATAAATCTGAAGCATTGTAGTCTATTATTTTAATAATATTAGAGTGACTTGATATATATATATGGCATGACTTAAGCGGGCTATTTTAATTACCTTTTGTTCTGTCAACAAACACTATAACAGCAAACTATTTGTCTAACAAAAAGAACAAGTATTAATTGGGTAGTTTGTAGAATCTCATAACTTCATGTCATTTAATTGAGTAAAGTCATACATTATTGTATTTCTATCTCAGTTACGATGTACACCACTTACTACGTGCCATTCAAAGACAAATCAGTAAAAATATTCCCTTGATTATTGACCTTCGAATGCAACAGTTTTATAACACGAATTACGCTTTCAGTATACGTGTACATACAGTTTCCATTGTTACTTTTGTACATTGCATGAATGGTCAGATTCTAAAAATAAAATAAGCTTTGTTCTTTATTATATTTTTGCAGTTATAATGATGAATTTAAAACATATCACTGACGAATGAACAAAGCATAAATGCACAAAAGGAACTGAAAGACTGTAACTTCATTCTAACCATTTAATGTTTTTAAGGCAGTATTCATCAAAGACTGACATCAGTTGGAGAACCATTAAAAACTTGGGAACAGTAGGCAGCTGTTTCGTACAAGTATGGGACTCCTCAGCAGTGCGCACCCACCACCCCACTAGGAAAAGGACTCAGGACCTCAAGGTTTCACAGCGAATACGTTGGCTAACTTATTCATGTTGTTCGCATAGTTTTAATACTCATTGAGGTGATTCCAATTACACTTATCTTCATTCTTAAGTATGACGTCACCTATAACCTCATAATTTGTGGCATTCTTGACTTCCACTCCATGTAGGTTGGAGTTGAGTTCAGACCATTATTTACGAAAGTCACACTTCAGATCTATGTTCTACTGCATCACTAACTGCCATTCCCAGGCAATTATATAACTAGTGTTGCATTAAGGAAGTCACTAATTGACCCCAGAAGTTGTTTTAATCTTTGATGAAAAGTGATGAGGGCAAAATAGTCCTATTTTATTCCTTGCTTTGTTTACACTATCAGTATCCGAAACCTGACGTTTTAGATTTGAGTAGTTTGAAATAGTTTCTCTGATTATTGCCGTTGAGCTGAACACTCCTGGAATCTATGAAAGACCATGGATTATTAAAGTCACTAAAGACATTATCAAGTTAAAAAGCGGATTTAAGGGTTTATGAAGGTTTAAAAACAAGCGTCACCAAAATGCTTCAAAAGCTGATAAATTATTTGTCTAACGATGTACTGCGTCAGTGTTTTTCTTCTAAAAGATTTTGAGTCGTCATGTTAACTCTACACTTTTTAGGCATTCTTCGTAGTATTGGAATTCCAAAGATGAGCCTTGAAAGTAAAACTTGTTTGATGAGTTTCTCTTTAACTGAACTATTATCATCATTACAAAAAATGTTTGATGTGATAAATGAACATGATACTCGTCATAATCATAATCTTTGTGAAAGAATAAATCCATGATAGTCCGAGTTGATGAGTTGACCGTGTAAAGTGAGACTTAAGTAATGATGTATAGTGCGATCAACACATGAAAGTGACCATCAGTGTGATACGTGCCGCCCCCACTACCGTATGTTTGATAGAGTTGCAGGATGACTGGAGGATAACACTTTACCTATGACTCAAAAAGTACTTTAAACAGAGAAAACCACTCTTGCTGTCTGAACTTAGACACATACCATTTGCTTTGGACTACCTAACTGATAAACAGTATGCTCTAATCCAAATAACAAGATTTATTATTGGTTTGTGATTAGTTAAGACAGTGGTTATTAAAGACCATGAATCAATTTAGATTTAAACATTAATTATCACAACTTTCACGATTGCAAATCTGAAGTAGGCTATCTTGAAAACTTATAAAGTGCATTATTATCTCATGTAACCTTCATCCAGTTCCCTATTCTTAAACTTTAAACCTATATGAAATGGGGGGTTTTCGATTCCTTAAGAAAGTCCAAGGACAGATATAGCTCTATCGAATCTACTAGTGTCAGCTCAAAATGATTTATTTACACAAACACTATTGTAGCACTTGAGAATTTTTTGTGAACTGTTCAACAAAACTTACATTTTAAAAAATGAAATCCTTTGTCCCATATTTCTGCTAAGTTTGTCCATCTTTATTTCTCCTATTATCTAATAGTTATGTTCATTACTAAACAGGTTTCTAGTCTGAGATTTCGTTCCGTCTCTCTTCATTCTGTACTAAGAGAGGAGACATACGATGCTATTCCTAACGTGGTAGATTTCATGGATACATATTTAACCAGCTGGTTCAACTACTGAAACATTATTCAGGGTCCATCTTAACCAGAGTGGTATGAAACTGCCTTGAGTCTGAATAGAAATTTCAGTTACTTGTATGCCAATGTGTATAGATTACACCGTCTTTGTTTAATTCCATTTGATGATGAACTCATAGGTCATTGACAATATTTTACCATAATGAACTGAACTGTAGAACAATGATGAATTCGATGTTTTGATGCTAACCATCTTCTTTAGTCAGACTTGAAATCTTCAGAAAATTCACATACCGGCTTAAGGAAGTTCTTCGTTGAAAGCAATTTGTACAAGTAACAAACATTTCATAAACTAATATGACTATATATTAACAGCGACTCAAATAATAGTCTGACTGTAAAGTGTGTAAGAATTCAGGCCATAGTTGTTACTAATATCAAGAGAGAAGTTGAAAACTGTCATCATCATGTAAGTAAGATTAAACATAATTTCAGTGTGTTAGAAAATCGAAACAAGACTTTTCCAAACACGCTGGGGTTTTGTTTGAACTTACTTATATAAGGATCGGATAGTGTATTTACGCAGCAAATTCCAAAACATCTCATCACACACATACTTGAAGGGATGAAAAAAGAGAAAGCAGGTCAAATGAGAAGGCTGAACTAACGAATTTCACGTTATGTTTACAAACACCCTATCATTAAATTAAACCGTTCTCGATGATTTCGGTTTCGATACCCAGGTTACTGAATGGTTGTTATGGTATGATGGCTTTGACGATTATTCTGGTCTTCAGTTTAGTTTTCTCGTTTGATCTACTTTAATTTCCCCATCCCATAGAGGCTTTTATTGTCGCTCATATAAATACGTACGCAAGCAAATGTGTAATCAGTGGGATTCAGAACGCGCGTTCCGTCCTATTTGAGCCGTCATCTAGATAGTGAGTGATGTTGTTCCCGTTAAAATTCATATCCACATCGATCGATTCAAACGCCAGAGCAACCAATAGTGACTCATCAGTTAGGTCCGGTTGACAAAACAGACTTACAAGCCACAACGGAAAACATATGATCAAACTGTTTAAAATGTGCTCCGCAGATACAACGCACAACTCATAGAAATTAATTTTTTGTTTTTTGAAATTCACTAAGAGACTTCATCGTTTTTAAAAGGAAAGGTGAACATAAGTTAGCATAACTTTCTGTTATCCATATGGTATATATATCAAAGTACATCAGGACAAAAATCTTTCCATGTTTTATTTCACCAGTATTTTGATATTATGCTACTTCCTTTGTGGTCTTCAAGAGTTTTTACATCAAGTTACATGTCCTTGACTAATGTGCCTTCCAAAATACCTTAAGGTTTAAATTCCAGCTTGGAGAGAGCTGGAAAGGAAGAGGTCACAGACAAGGCTAATGTTCTTCATAGCTTTCAATAAACTGAGACTGGTTTTGATTGCTGTTCAACTAAACCTCACTAAGTTCAGCATTATTTATGATATCATCCAAGGGATTCTAACCGGAGCTTTGAATATCATAATTAGATTTAGCACACTGTCTGCTGTCCTTATAGTCTAGATTATTTTATGTCTATGAAATATGATGAATTGGAAATCTAGCTGGTGCGACTTTTGTGAAACATAGTGGAACATTTTATTCGAATGACCTGATGTTGTTACAATTCACAATCTCAACTGATGGATAACCCTGCATCGTAAGAGCAGTTGATAACATATTTGTGTAACCATTTACATATAGTTAAATACTTACTTATTATCCCAAATACACTCATGCTTATAAGAAATATGCTTGCAATCCACGCTGTGATCTTACTACCAGAACATGCGTATAGTTGAAAATCTGGTTCAGACAATTCGCTGCCAACACAAGCGAACTCGGAATGCACTGTTATATGGTCATGATGAAGTGATTGTGTTGTTAAGGTGCTGAGTATATCACGTACACTCGAAGTAACTGTATTGTAGTATCTTTCAGTTGTTACTGCCTGTGTTATATTCAAACTGATAGATTCCATTGTTGACAGAACGGACTCAAACTCATTCATAGCTTCTGATGTTGATAATAAAGGTAATGTGGAGGACAAACTTCCGTTAGCTTCCATCTTTACACTCTATATTTTTAGATGATTGTTTATTATAGTCCAGGAAACGTCTATTAATGGGCACAGCATTAGTTCATGCATAACATTTTGGTTTTATTCCTTCATTGAGCGCATTACTTTTTGGCGATGGAGACTAAATAGTTTCAGTTGAAATTTACATAACCAAAATAGGTGATAATGAATTTGGATTTCAGAAAAGTGTTGCACCTGTTTCTTTCAGAAAGTAATACTGAGATATTTGCCAAAAATAATTGTTACAAATAACAAGAACACTATCGAAATGTGTGTCTACCTTGAAAGTGCGTGTGTATGCACAAAAACACCCTAAGATATGCTTATGAATGTGTGCAAACCCTAAGTGTGCAGTGCACAATCTACTTTGTAAATGCAAACAAATATCTTGGCCGATATAACATCAGTGGAATGTTTACAAGCATACATGCACAAACGCGTGCATACACAAATTTGTGCCCACAACTACACATATTCATGTGAACGGGAAAATTACAGGTCAGGTAATTGGACAGTCCCATGTATGTAGATTAGAAATATTCCCCTTATAACTTACTTAAATTTGTAAAAAGAAACAATCAACGTAACAATAGTTATTAATCAGTTACACTGATGCTGATAAAAGGGGTCGGGTAAACGGACGAAAATCAAAATCCTTTTGAGAGAAATCATTTCACGCAGCATTTGAGGTTAATCACAATGAGCACCATCAAACAGGTTGTGTTACTTGAAATCATCATCATGGCTTATATACAGTCTCGAGGAAATGCACATTGGGTTAAAGCCTAGGACCTTCAAGACTTACAAACACCGCTGATAAGCTATTCTAACAGATATCAAACCGTAATGTATTTTCAGGTGAATGGAGATTTATTTTAAAGGTGGCATTCATCATGGACTGACATCACTCGTAGGACCATTAAAAACCTGGGGGCACTGCGCACATGCTTCGTCCTGATATTGGACTCCTCAGAATCACCCACCCATAGATTCGCTGGGGATCGAGCTCAGGACCCTCATATCTCATGGTGAACTTGTTAATCATCCAGTCACTGGGTCAGAGTCTAGTAGTTCACCATTTACAACTTGTGTCAGTCCGTGATGAGTGCCTCCTTAAAAATAAATCCTCAGTAACTTCACAATACATTACTGTATAATGCTCATTAGTGCAATGCTTCAGATTGATATCCTGAAATTTAAATAAGAAGCCGTGACATTTGCTGTCAACCAACTGGAGGTGAAGTGGATGTCAACTCAAGACCTTGGTGGATAGTAGTGCTGTATCACGAATCAACAGAAGTAGTAAAATGTGAACCACTGAACTAAGACCCAGTGGCTGTCCACTGTGAGACCTGAAGTTCCTGAGTTGGATCTTCACCCAGGTCATGTGTGAGTACTGTTGAGGATTCCCATACTAAGACGGAACGGCCATCCAGTGCTCTCAGGTTTTCAATGATTTTCCGACTGTCAGTCCGCGTTGAATTGTACCTTAAATATATCATGCCGTCTGTCGAAATTAGTTTTCTCAGGAAACAGTCCATTTTATAGACATCTTGGTTTGAGTGGTACTCATTCACAAAAAGTGCAATATGAGCACAGTTTTTATCGAATGCGTCTGTATGGGTATTCACTATGTCACAAATTTGTTCCTCAAAGTCAGTAACAATGAAAAGAAATTCATAGTTGTTTTCATAACAGTCAATCAGCTGTTGAAGAATTCACACAACCACAGAACCACTAGATAGCTGCTTAATTACAGTTTAGGGCATTTCTGAGCTAAGCGCCGGCGGTTTTATGACTAGTTGAGGCCAGGACAATCAGATCTCACAGAAAATCTGGTATCACTAGGCAGTGAGTTGGAATAGAGTGGTATTTATTTCTTGTTATTGCTCGGTTTTGCTTGCTTTCATTGGTTCTCAAACTTATACCATTTCATATTTGAAACTGCAAGAAAATCAATTCACACCCACAAAGCACTGGTAGAGAAACAAATTATAAATTGTTCTGAGATATACCAATTTAACTACCATATGGAGAAAACGACTAGAAAAATTAGTTGAAGTCACTTCACCCTGAAATATTTATTCTGTTTATGCTGAGATATACCTTCAAGGAACAAAATCATAGGCTTCTGTGAAACAAACACATCTTGTGTAATTCCGTAACTATTTTACATATATGTTGCTAGATGGACTGAAAAACTTTATTTACCTATTTTTGTATTACGTATAAACGTTTTGAATAACCAGGCAAAAGTTCTGTTGACAATATTAAGGAATCATTTTGTGTAGGCAGTACTGCATACCTGAGATTCCGCAAAACTTATTTTAATTTATTTAACTTATTTGCTAAACAAAACCATAATATTCATGACACTGTTATTGATTGTAAAGCTATTCCCGTGACATATATTTACATTTAGATAGAGATATCTAGTATCTTTTGAAAATCTGCTTGAGGAATAAAGTCTCGTTACGGAATATATTTTACTTGAATCTAACAAGTAGAACAGTGTGTGAATATCTAATTCAGGCGCGGTGCAATATTCAGTGTTACATAGAAGTAAAACAATAGAATGAGTGATATTCATTCTTGCTTGCTTCATAATATGTGTTTTCTAACGAAAACTGGTACACAGTGTATTTTGCGAGGTCTAGGGAACTTTTTGCTTGATATTCAGCTTTTTGAACATCTCAACAAAATGAATATAATAGAACAATACAGATCAAACGGTGACATTTATTGGCTAAGTCAGGTCGTACAGTTTTCCGATTTTTGCAGTGGACATCAGAGTTTTGCATAAATGAACTGAGCCAAAGTCACTGAACTGTCCCAATCACCTCACTCCATTACTACCTTGTGCGAAATTATATTCCATGTATGCAAACCAATTAAGACAAGTATTGTCGTCCTAGTACTTTTGTATTTCTCTGTGAATTTGCTGTCGATTAAAAATGTATACGTACTGAAAGAAATAAAAACATTTCTTAAAGAATTTACTGGAAATATTTTACAATCTGTTCTTTTCCTCTACATTTAGCTCATTTACTGGTTATAAGGATGGATAGTGGATAACAGTAGGATTCCGGGCATGTGACTTTCCCTGTTTGAGGTGTGTTAGCTAGACTTACTTGCCCACTACTAGATGTCACCCTTTCTAAGAATCTTAAAACACAAGATTTTCAGTCGTGTGTCCCCTAAAATCTCAATATACCCTTAGTGTCTCTTTCCACAATGATCACGTTTTTGAACATAACTTACACATTGGTCCCTCACTGAAGAGTAGCTGTTTGCATATCTAGTCCCCAATATTTATGAAATTCGGTCAACCGTTTTCCAGTATTGTGATGAAACCAGCAGATTTAACTACACAAAGCACTTTGGCCTGATTGTGATGATTCGAGGCATTTGGTGGGTGATCATCAGTCTAGTTTTCATACTTGTTGATACTCATCAACAAGATGGTAAGGATTTTTCCTTGAAGAGTTGTGATCTGGCATCTCTCATTGGTGTTCTTACTTGTCAAAAGCCATTCATATAAAAATGAGCGCGAAATACCCACTCTTAAGCTCAACTTAATATGCCTTTTATCACTTTTACCAAACGTTTTAGTGGTTACTATACTTGACATTCTTTGAAGATTCCTCTGTCATTATTAAGTACTGTAAGTTTGCAAAATCATAAATCTTTTCTGGTGCAAATTATGCAGTAGATATATTTAATTTTCAGTGATACTTTTAGCATGAGAGTGACATGTTGATATGTATTTACAGACTTCTTTTAATATCACTTCAGAAAACTATACTTAATAGGTATTTCAGGTTGGAATCCATGATGGACTGAAATTAGTTTGACCAGCAATGGAAACCTAGGAGCAGTTGGCATCTGCTTCGTCCTAGCATGGGACTCTTCAGCAAAGTACACCCATGACCCAGCCTCGCCAAGGGTCGGACCTAGAACCTTCAGATTCCATGACCAGGATGTTACCATTGAACCACTGAGTCAGAATCCGATGGTCCACATTTTCCACTTCTTCTGTCAGTTCACAAAACACCTGTTCAGTGCTCCCAGGTCTTCAATGTTCCTCCAACTGATGTCAATCCATGATGAATTCCAACCTGGAATCAATTAACAAATCTTCATAAACCTCCAGATTGAATTAATGACTAGTATAGTACATTAGCAAGATCTCAAAAGAGTAAAATTTAGACACTTTGATATAATTTAACTTTATATTAGATTTGTTTACTTGATAATACACACAGTAATACACTATTATTTGGTGAATGAGTTTGGTGTTTAAATTCATCTTGGGAATACAAATAATGACTAGGGGTTCAGTGCACACCTTCTTTATCTGATATCATTCCATGGTGAGAAAAACTGTTAAATTTCATAGCTTCTTAACTCCTCTCAACATTTGATAGTTCTTTTTCAAGTTTCCAAATGACTGCTTGTTGTTGGCGAAGACATTCATTGTCGAATATTCCTTTCAGCCTTCTTCTGAAACGATTACTCATATATGCATTGATAAAGGGATAAGGACCTGCACGGGTCACACAATTTAACCAGTATGCATATGGTGTTTTTCGTGGCAGTATCGTTCACCAATACAACCCATGTCCTGAATACTCTTGGTCAACCATTAGGTACTACAACATAAAGTTCCAACGGTTATAAAAAAGAGTTGTATACCGTTATTTCCTTTCTGTTACTTTTATTTGTTACTAATTTCCTTCCTCTTTGGTTGCGTAAAAAGCATAATTAAAGATGCAGGATAAGCATGAATGGTTAGTGGCAATTTTATAAGGAACATATGTAGTTCTTCAGACAGATAAAACATTTCTATTTGGATCATGTGAACTGTAAACGTTTTTAACCCAACAATTAAGAATTATATTTTATAGGATTATAAGTCCTAAAAACTCTCTGGATATTAGATCATAGAAGCTACCGAAGAGGAATAAATGAGTTGACTACAGAGTTGACAGTGCTAAAATTAGGCTCACAAGGAGAGTAGGGAATTTGACGGAGCGAATGTTAGACAGAGGAGGTGTCGGCCAATCATTGTGTAACATATTAACTTACTCTTCATTTACATAAAAAATATCCGAGGCTGGCTAGACTGCATCACTGAACTAGTCCAATTATTGAGGCATTCTTTATCTTGAATTCATAAAAGGGTGTACTATTTTACTGGTGGAGTGAGACTGCTGACAACGAATCATCGAAAACTTTAGATAATATAAACTAAAATCCATAACAATGACACTTTTTTGT